TGAAAGTGCATGTTTAGGAAAGTTCCGGCAAGGAAAGACTTGGTATTTAAGTGTGTCCATTAGTGACCCACCTCTCTTTCCCGGGAACTTACCTAGTGTACTAGTTCACGTTATCGTCACCGCTGCCGCCGGAGCAGCCATCGGGTCCGCCGTCGTCTGAGAATTCGCCGGAGTTTCATTTTTTTTACCGGTGACATATGATTTTGCTTGTCTCGGCCAGGGTTTGTTCTCCCGCTCTTCATGACTTCTTCCACTATTTCCAATTTTGTTAACGATTCTTTTGTGTCGACATCCCATCGTGATGACCGGCTCGCCCTCGCAAACAGGAAAAACGGCGTCCTAAGTGTGAACATTGTGGCAAGCTAGGTCACAAGATTAACAAGTGTTATACATTACATGGTCGTTCTCCTCGCCCGTCGTAGTTGTTCGGACCAATCTTTCCCCACCTTTATCCGTAGGGATCTTCCTTCTTCCGTTGCATCCGACATGTCTCGCTATGTTCAACAAATTTCTCGAATGGTATAAGGATCAACAGCCTTGTAGTTCCACTATATCCGTCACACATACAAATACATATTTTGTCTGGTCTCGACCCAATCATTTTCTCCTGGTCCTTGGGTTTTTGATTCAGGAGTCACTGATCATATTACCGGTAACAAATCTTTGTTCTCCTCTTTATCCTCTCCTAATCATTTACCTTCTCGTTACACTCGGCCGATGGCTTTAGAGTATCATCTCATGGTGTTGGAACAGTTAAACTCTTTCCTTCTTTAACCATTGATAATGTTCTTTATGTCCCCGGGTCTCCTTTTAACCTCGTTGTCCATCGACCGTCTAACTCGTTCTCTTGATTGTGTTGTTACTTTTACCAACAATTCTCGTGTGTTTACAGGACCGGAGTTCGAAACAGGTGATTGGCACAGGATGTGAGTCTCATGGTCTTTATTATCTCCGTCCCTCTACACATGTTAGTACAGCTTATGGAGTCTCCTCTCTTCTTCATGCTCGCTTAGGTCATCCAAGCCTTGCCAAGTTACGTAAACTTGTCCCCGCCTTGTCTAACTTATCTAGTTTGGCGTGTGAGTCATGTCAATTAGGCAAGCATAGTCGTACTTCCTTTCCTCGTAGTTTCACACGTGGTGCTTCGTCCCCTTTTGCCGTGGTTCACTCGACATTTGGGGACCTAGCCGCGTTAAGTCTACTTTAGGTTTTCAATACTTTGTTACTTTCATTGATGATTATTCCGGATGCACTTGGTTATTTTTTATGAAAAATCGTTCGAATTATTTCATATCTTTCAAACTTTTTTTAATGAAATTCAAACTCGGCTCGGTGTTTCTATTAGAGTTTTGCGTAGTGATAATGGCCGTGAATATCTTTCTCATTCTTTTAAACAATTCATGGCTTCTCACGGTATTTTGCATCAAACTTCTTGTGCTTATACACCTCAACAAAATGGTGTAGCTGAACGTAAAAATAGACATCTTATTGAAACAACTCGCACACTTTTAATTCATGGAGATGTTCCTCAACATTTTTGGGGTGATGCTCTTCTTACTGCATGTTATCTCATTAATCGCATGCCTTCTTCGGTTTTAGATAATAAAATACCTCATTCCATTTTATTCCCTCATGAACCACTTCATCCTTTACCTCCGAAAGTTTTCTGGTCTACATGTTTTGTTCATAATTTCAATTCTGTCCGGACAAGCTTTCTCCTAGATCACATAAATGTGTTTTCTTAGGGTTTACAAGATCACAAAAAGGATACAAATGTTTTTCTCCTTCTCTTAACCGTTATTTTGTGTCAAAAGATGTCACCTTTGATGAGTTGTCTCTTTATTTTAAAAGTCAAACTTCACCTCTGTCTCCATCCAATCTTGTCAACACTCCTAATACATTTAATGTTCCCGTTGTTTGTGACCCTCTAATTGTGTCTTCTTCACCATTAGTTTTCGCTCCGCAGCTTAGCTTCTTCTCCACTGCCTCTTCGCATTTATAGTTCTCGAAACCAATCACAACCACCACCATGTGACTCTACTCAAGTGCCAACTACTCTGTCTCCTCCGGATCCGACACATGAGTCCGACCTTCCCATTGCCCTCCGAAAAGGTATTCGTTCTACACGTAATCCCTCTCCCCATTATATTGCTTTGAGTTATCATCGACTGTCATTACCTTTTTATACATGTCTTTCCTCTATTTCTTCTGTGACCATTCCAAAAGCTGTCCGTGAAGCTTTAGCCCATCCTGGTTGGCGTCAGGCCATGTTAGATGAACTAAGTGCTCTTTATAATAGTGGAACTTGGGAATTGGTCCCGTTACCGTCTGGGAAATCTGTTGTTGGTTGCAGGTGGGTGTTTGCTATCAAAGTTGGACCCGATGGTACTATTGATCGCCTCAAAGCTCGTCTTGTGGCCAAAGGTTATACTCAAATTTTTGGGTTGGATTATGGAGATACCTTTTCCCCTGTGGCAAAGATGGCTTCGTTCGTTTATTTATCGCCATGGCTCGCTCTTCAACAATGGCCTCTTTATCAACTCGGATGTTAAAAATGCTTTCCTCAATGGTGATTTGCAAGAAGAAATATATATGGAGCAACCTCCTGGGTTTGTTGCTCGGGGGAGTCTTCCGGGATGGTATGTCGTCTTCGCAAATCCCTATATGGCCTAAAACAGTCTCCTAGGGCTTGGTTTGGAAAGTTTAGCAAGGTTGTTCAACAATTTGGTATGACTCGGTGTGAATCGGATCATTCTGTCTTTTATCGACACTCGAGTGCTTGGATGTGTTTACTTGATAGTATATGTTGATGATATTGTTCTTACAGTGTAGTGACAACCATGGCATCTCTCAGTTGAAACAACATCTTTGTCACCATTTTCGGACCAAAGATCTTGGCAAACTTAGATATTTCTTGGGTATTGAGGTAGCACAGTCCAATGATGGTATTGTTATATCTCGGAGGAAGTATGCCATAGATATTTTGGAAGAAACTGGGTTGATGAGTTCAAAGTCTGTTGATACACCCATGGATCCCAATACTAAACTTCTACCAAATCGGGGGAACCTATATCCGATCCCGAGCAAGTATAGAAGATTGGTTGGAAAATTGAATTATCTTACAGCTTACTCGTCCCGACATTTCCTTTGCAGTCGAGTGTGGTAAGTCAATTTCTTAATTCACCATGTGAAGATCATTGGAATGCGATCATTCGTATCTTGAAGTATATTAAAGGATCTCCTGGAAAAGGATTGTTATATGCTTCTAATAACCATACAAGAGTTGTTTGCTACTCGAGATGTCGATTAGGCGGGATCTCCTTCTGGATAGAAGATCTACATCCGGATATTGTGTCTCCATTGGTGGTAACTTGATTTCATGGAAAAGTAAGAAACAAAGTGTTGTGGCAAGATCCAAGTGCGTAGCGCAATATAGAGCTATGGCCTCGGCTTCCTGTGAACTTGTTTGGCTCAAGCAATTGCTTAGAGAGTTACAATTTGGAGATGTCACTCAAATGACACTTGTGTGTGACAATCAGTGCGCTCTTCATATTAGTTCTAATCCTGTCTTTCATGAGAGGACCAAACACATTGAGATTGACTGTCATTTTATTCGAGAAAAGATTATGTCCGGAGATATCAAGACCGAGTTTGTTAACTCAAGTGATCAGTTAGCGAGATATTTTTACTAAATCTTTACTGGGGTCCTAGAATTGATTATATTTGTAACAAGCTTGGCACATACGATTTGTATGCTCCAAGCTTGAGGGGGAGTGTTAGATATTGTTTATATATTATTTGATATTGTTAAGATATTGTTAGATATTGGTAACCACAATATCAAACAATATCTTCTGTTTATTCTGTTACTTTCAGTTACTCTTTTAGTTGTATTTCTCTACTATAAATAGACCACCCTATGTGTGATTTATACACAAGGGAAATTAATTCCAAACTATATTTTCTTTATATTCAACAAAATCCATAAAAAGCATTGGTGGAGAATCATAGTGGTTGCAGTTTCAAACAATAATGTCTAACATCGGGAAGAAACATACAAATGATGTTTTTGGTTAATTTGTGAAGAAGATGGCACTCTGAGCACCAACTCACTTTGCATTATACCCAACTACAAAGTGGTATAAGTGATGATAAAAATAGAAACTTCATGGAGATGACAGGGTGTATGCTACATGAAAAGGAGCTACTATAGAAGCTAATTGTAGAGGCTGCAAGAATTGGTATATTTTTGCATAATAAGCTTTCAGCCAACCGAAGTGCTGAAGAAAAAAACCACTTGAAGGCTGGTTTGAGTACACAAACCTTATTTACAAAATCTAAAAAATCTTTGGTTGTGGTTGTGGTTGTTTCTCCTGTGTTTCACCAGTTAAAAGGGACAAACTTAATAAGAAGGCAGAACTCAGTTTTTACTGAATACAACAACACTTCCAAAACTTACAAAAATTTCCAACTACAAAATGGAAAAATTCATGTGAATAGAGATGTAAAATTTGTGGAAGACCATCAATTGAGCTAGGAAGAACCAATAATGAAGCAACTACCAGAAATCCCACAATTCCTTGATGATTATGTAGATGACATGTGTCAGAGGTACAATATCCATAGCTTTATGAAAGATGCAACCTATAGGAGTGAAATGGGTTTATATGATCTAAAATGAGCTCCATGGGCTTGGCATGGGAGAATCAGTAACTATCTTCAAAATTTGGATTTATTAAAAGTCCAAGAGAAACATTATACGTGAAACTGGCATATGATGATTTAATTATAGTTTCTATGTTGCTAACCTTCTTGTGAAACTAAAAATGGATTTCAAACCTGAAGTACTCAATGCTTAAAACTACATATCTTCTTTTGAAGTTGTTTTTTGGTGGAATGGAAGGAAAACAAGATCATGATGAGTCTTTATATGTCAAAATAAAATGGAAACTAGTTACTAAAAAGTTTCGCATGGAGGATTGCAAAAGTACTACACTCCTATGAAGCATGAGGAAGAATTCAGGAAAACTGATGGAGCTAACAAGGTTGATGAGTACCTCTATGGAAGCTTTATTGATTGCCTAACTGAATTGTGCCAGTGAAGCGCATCATTAGGCTGCCAAAGGGATTGTGAGATATGTTAAAGGTGCTATAAACTATGGTATTAAGTATATTCACTCAGAATTTTAAGTTTCATGGATATTTTGACAGCGCTTCAGTTGATGACATAAAAAGTACAGTAGGTTTAGGGTTGTTGGCTTAGTTGATGACATAAACAGATTTTTTTGCTGGTAATCAAACTGCTATTTCCATTTCAAACAATCATGTTTTTCATTGCAAGATTAGGCATTTTAAGATCAAGTAGTGTTTCTTAAGAATGTGCAAAGAGATGAAGAAGTTAAGCTAGTCTATTGTAGAACAGAAGATCAAAGTGTAGATGTCTTAAGAAAAGCTCTTCCAAAATCCAGATCTGAAGCTTTAAGAATCAAAATATGAGTCTGCAGCTATTAAGGGTAGGAGTAGATCTGTTCCAAGTTTACGTTTTCAATAACAGCTGCAACATTTTCTTTCCTATTTTTTAGGAGTTACTTTTGCTGCTATTTTTAAGGTTTATTATGTCTTAAAATTAAGGGATGTAACTGATGTGCTGATGCTCTATATATGGAGCTCTTTCAATAAAATTACGGTATGCTTTTGTGCTCTCATAAAACAGAAACAACACAATTGAAATCTTTTTATTTCTTGTGATATATGTACTAAATTGAATAATGTACCGTGACAACCTATTTCTATCTTTCCAAATTTATTCGGAATTTGGTATAAAAAAATCTTTCTTTGCTTTTGCACCCAGTAGTACTCCATTTAAACATATATTTAATTGCCTTAACATTCTAACAATGAAAGGACTGTTTTATGACTGTCATTTATATAATTACAGTAGCTGGTAGCAATGCCTGCGAGATCACAATGTTTCATCAAGAAGATGCTGGTTTGAATATGGAGATGGCTAAACTGGCTTTTCGCAAGGGCATATGGAGCTATATATGCAAGATGGATAATGCACTTCGAAGATACTCTGTTGTAAACTATCATTTATCAAATTCAGTTACCACTTCAGTTAATTTAATGCAGAAGGTTAGTGCTGTTAGTTTCACAAATAATCATTTAAATATTTCCTGGTTGAATTGCTAATGCCTTTTATCATAATCACCAAAACAATGCTTGAGGCGGATTTGCTTTAGACTTTGAATGTGTTCTTGATGACTACTTATAACACCATTAACTTGTTCAACAACAACTCCTATGATGTGATAGATTCAAACTGAAGGTTTAAATTTAGAATCAATTCTAGCCAGGACAATAATGAGAAATTCTAGGGCTTATTTGTTTTTTAGAATCAGTTTTTTAGATTTTTAATTTAAAAGGAAAGTAATCACTTTGTTTGATAATTTTTTTCTGTTAAAACAACTTCTATTTTAAAAATTTTGAAATTAGTTTTATTGTCAGGATGCAGTTAGCCCCATGGAAATTTTGCAGGAAAGTGTGGTGATGAACGTTTGGCAAATGCACCAATAGTTAACGTAGTAATAAAATATCGTCCTCTGGGATTGAATTTGTTGACTACTAGATTCCTAATGTACGTAAGTTTGAGCAATTGAAAATTTGGATAAAATAGCAAACATAGAATTATAATAAGAACTTTAGTCAAAATAAGATCTGTTAGAGAATTGATTTCATACCCTTTCCTATATAATTCTAGTCCTTTCAATTGATGCAAGAAATGTAATTATCCACTTGAGTTTACCCAGAGTTGTTTTACCCCTAATCCCTTAGTAGGCAAAACTATTCATTGAATCCGAACCTCCAATCCCTTAGGTTAGTTACGCCATTCAATAGAATCATGAAAAAACAATAATCTTCTCTATTACAAACTAATTAGATATATGCCCAATTTCCCAATTGTGACAAACCCTAACCTGTTATATTTAGGATCGCGAACAACCTCCAATCTCCCAATTGTGAAACTGCTCGTGCAATGAACTTGAAAATTATAAATAGAACACTGAGATAAAGAACATTAACTAAACATCAATTGTCAAGAACAAGAAAATATAATTCAGAGTACTACATCAATCCTCTAACAACAGGGAAATCAGTTCTACATAATATAAAAATTCCCAAAAGATAATAACTAGAACGTAACAAATGGAGAATGGTTGCCCCCTCTCCCCTTTTCAGTTTCGTTCCACCTTCTTTATAGGGTGTCCCACGTTTTTCTCCACTTGTTGAGGTAGTTACCACTTGTCATAACCGTCTTGAATTTCCACATGTGTGGAAAAATCCACAACCCACCTGTGGAACTCTCTAACTTCAACTGTGCATTCTGAAACACAAATCCACAGGTTGTGGAACATTTCACAAGGTACCTGTGGAACTTGCTGATATGAAATCTTTCTATCTTGACACCAACTCCCTCCAAACTATGAATTCAAACTTCCAAACACCTATTTACAAGAACAATGCACAAACCAACATGTATGATCCAAAACAACGATAATACATGATGAAATCGTTCCCATAATGCAACAACATATGAAATTAACCTAAATTAATGCATGAATATAATGATATTTTATCCACCCATCAATTCTCCCAAGCTTAGACTTTTGCTTGTCCTCAAGCAAAGAGAATTTAATAAAAACAGGACGATAATGCAAACAAAATGATGAGTGTTTTTTATTGGAAATACATCGTCTTGTCTCAAATCCAAATTCAATCAATGATATTCCAAAAGTATATATTCCACAATTGTTGTTGGGTCCCTAAGTGAGTTAAGGAAAGGATGTAAGGCACAAGACATCAAGGAAGACAATCTTTGAGCTTTATTTTCTCTTTACAAAACTTTTTCTTAGGTTCTTGCCTAGAAGACAATTACTTGCCAACTAAACATGGATCTTCCACTCAAATGCTTTGCACTTGCCACATCCGGTCTCAAAGGAGTGCCTCTTTCCCCAGTAACTCACACAGTCTCAAAGGGGTGTCATTTCACTTATTAGGTTTTTTTTTTTTTTTACATTATTGTGAACTAACAGACAATTCTCCAGTAACTAAAAGCAGGGAGTGTCACCATAGAAACCTTAAAAAAAAATTAATTTTCTTCCTTAAGTGTCATAGTGTCCAGACTTCTTGTGTAGTGTGTGAAGTTTCCCAACAAATAATCATGACAGATAACCATAGTATGTTTCACAAAAATATTACTGAACAAACTTAAGACTTGAGTTAAGATAATGAATTCCCAATTCAATGTATATGTTATGCAAATGTAACAACAGAATGACATGCAATTGACCCTCCCAAGCTTAAATGTTGATGTTGTCCCCAACATAAGCAAAATAATTAAGATTAGAAGGGATAGAACTCACAAAATTATGATTGGTCGGAACGGAGGAATTCCATCACCTCTTGGAGCAATTGTTCCATGCGTTGTTGATGAAGAAGTTGGGAATCCCGAAACTGCATGAATTCGGTATAATGGCGTTGGTGTTGAGTGCGGAGATCAGCAAGTGATTGAGTGATGCGAGTAACCACGTCAGCATGAGAATCAAGGGAAACAAAAGGAAGTGTCAAGGGTGTATTAGGGCGAGGATGAGAGGTATTGTGGGAATTCAAATCTGAAAATGTCCACCTCGCTAGACCATGCACAGTAGTAAATTTTGGATTAGGAAGTGGTTGTGGTGACATGCTTTCAACATAATTCATTACTAAACAATAGTGACCATCTCGTTTGACCAACATTTCGTTATTTATCAGCATCTCTAAATCATTGCGAGATGTCCCGACTATTGCCTTATATCTTCCAAAGGAATGTTGAGATGTAATGCGATTGGAGTTATCAATCCACCAATTGCTATTTGTCCTGATGAAGTTTTTCCTATCTTAGTGAATTGACGAGCTAGCCATGAACCTGAATCCAGTTGAACATTGTTGACCATCCCCCATAAGAATAATAATTTTGATTTCCTAACAGCAGCAATACTATCACCCCGAGCAAATAAAGTATGAGCTAACAATCGGTGAGCATACCGAAAACAGGGATGATGAATATGAGACTCTTTAGACTCTGAGGAAACAAAGTTAGTGGAGGTAGATAATTGGTGCCAAAAGGAATGTTCATTAAAAGCACAAGGATATCTTCTCTCACCTCCACTAGGAAACCCGAAAATGACATTCAACTTAGTTAAATCAAGATAATGAAATACAGAAAAAACAAAATAACTAAAATAAAAAAAGTTTTGACTACCTAAAAACTAACACTCAAATCTTAAGCGAATTAGATCACTAATATCAACAGAAAAATCAATCCCCGGCAATGGCGCCAAAAACTTGATGAACGTTTGGCAAGTGCACCAATCGTTAACGTAATAATAAAATATCGTCCTCTGGGATTGAATTTGTTGAATACTAGATTCTTAATGTACGTAAGTTTGAGCAATTGAAAATTTGGATAAAATAGCAAACATAGAATTATAATAAGAACTTTAGTCAAAATAAGATCTGTTAGAGAATTGATTTCATACTCTTTCCTATATAATTCCAGTCCTTTCAATTGATGCAAGAAATGTAATTATCCACTTGAGTTTACCCAGAGTTGTTTTACTCCTAATCCCTTAGTAGGCAAAACTATTCATTGAATCCGAACCCCCAATCCCTTAGGTCAGTTACGCCATTCAATAGAATCATGAAAAAACAATAATCTTCTCTATTGCAAACTAATTAGATATATGTTCAATTTCCCAATTGTGACAAACCCTAACCTGTTATATTTAGGATCGCGAACAACCTCCAATCTCCCAATTGTGAAATTGCTCATGCAATGAACTTGAAAATTATAAATAGAACACTGAGATAAAGAACATTAACTAAACATCAATTGTCAAGAACAAGAAAATATAATTCAGAGTACTACATCAATCCTCTAACAACAGGGAAATTAGTTCTACATAATATAAAAATTCCCAAAAGATAATAACTAGAACGTAACAAATGGAGAATGGTTGCCCCCTCTCCCCTTTTCAGTTTCGTTCCACCTTCTTTATAGGGTGTCCCACGTTTTTCTCCACTTGTTGAGGTAGTTACCACTTGTCATAACCGTCTTGAATTTCCACAGGTGTGGAAAAATCCACAACCCACCTGTGGAACTCTCTGACTTCAACTGTGCATTCTGAACCACAAATCCACAGGTTGTGGAACATTTCACAAGGTACCTGTGGAACTTGCTGATATGAAATCTTTCTATCTTGACACCAACTCCCTCTAAACTATGAATTCAAACTTCCAAACACCTATTTACAAGAACAATGCACAAACCAACATGTATGATCCAAAACAACGATAATACACGATGAAATTGTTCCCATAATGCAATAACATATGAAATTAACCTAAATTAATGCATGAATATTGTTGAAAGTCCCACATCGCCTACCTCATATCATTTGGTATGGTTTAAATACATGTTAGGCTACTCCACATATTGCCAATTGGTTTTATGTTGGAACCTTAACATGGTATCAGAGTCAAAGCCTAACATCTTTCCGGTTATTGTCATGGGCCAAAAGTTGCCCTTTAGTTGGGTCAAAAGTACCCTTTGCCTGGTCCGGCGGGCTTCGTTGGAGGGAGTGTGTTGAAAGTCCCACATCGCCTACCTCATATCATTTGGTATGGTTTAAATACATGTTAGACTACTCCACATATTGCCAATTGGTTTTATGTTGGAACCTTAACAAATATAATGATTTTTTATCCACCCATCATGTGGGACTGGGGAGAACATCATATCAGAAGTATTTCATATTTTATGGGAAAAATTCATTAATTTGATTTTAATCATTAGGAGTCATTTTCGGCAAAAGTAAAGCCAGTCATCTTAGAAGTCGTGATTGAAATTCATTGAAAATATAGAACCAGCTAATGATGGCCATGTAGATTAATGACACCTCATGGTTACAACTTACATGTAGATATGTTAGGTATGGAATTCAGAGTAGATAATTGTTCGTGACAATAGTCCCTTCCTTCCCTTGTTTGCAGGTACCGGCTTGCTTGGACCCTATCACGAGTAACATATCTCCAGGACATCCTACCGTCTTCCATGATCAATTTACTGATGAATCTCAAAAGCGGGTGATCCTAAGAAGGCCATCTAGAAAGTTTCTAGCCAATAGTTTGCTGCTTCTAGGAGGTGCTACTGCTATATGCCTGTCTCGTAGTCATTCTAGCCTAGGTGTTAAAGTTGCCATGGCATACATTTTAACAAAACTTAGTAAGCGTGGTGCTAGATCAAACCAAAGCAAACAAAGTTGAATGTAAGATTTGTTTTAGTTTAATGTTAGTCTCCTATGTAATATTGAATAATCAAGATTATATATAACCTTGAATAATGTCAATAATCCTTATGTTGTAGATGGTTTAGTCATTCATACACTTATAATCTATTTCTCTATATTTATTTGTATATTCATAATAACATGTGCTTGGCCAAATTAAAGCATAATTAATTTGGTTGAAATCAGTGAACTGACTGATAAAGGTTAAGCTGCATTATTGAATTTAAAATAATTAGTAAAACAATTTATGAATTGGTAAATGTAAAATTATCAAAGAGATATGTTAATACGATTTTTTTTACACAAGTATCTATATTTATCATTTTCAATATTGAGTATAAAGATTAAAAATAAGAAAATCCTACTTATAAAAAGTAATGTCATATATAAGTGAGTGATGAAAAATAAAAATTAAATTATTTCTCATACGAAACAAGATTAAAAAGAAACTTAATAAATGTGTTAAGTACAGATCAAAATAAATATAAAACAGATAACCGTTAGATTTTTTATTTTTTTTTAATGTTACAAGTTACTAGAATATTTTGATATTTTCTTTAATAAATACGGTGACTAAGATCAAATAAGTATTTCAAGTATTAAAAAAGTTAAATTAGTTGAAATGATGTGTCAAAACATAATTTAAATTTAAAGTATATTTTTATTCTAGTATTTATAATGACTTCTAATTCATTGATACAACAATTTATAACCACTTGAAAAATGTTTATTTATATATATATATATATATATATATTTTTTTTTTTTTTTTTTGCTTTTATGCAATTCATTAAAACAATTTTAATATTTTTCAAATTATTAAACTAAACAATCATATGAAAAAATATAAATATTTTTCAAATTAAAACTTCAATATAGGGCACGGTTCATGGGCTAGTAAATTTATATTTTAAAGTTTTCATTATATTTTATTATTATCATTACAGTATGCATTACTAAAAATTTTGCAATTAGAAAAATTGTATATCAATATTTTAAAACTAGTATCTCACATATATTTTAATATTTCTATTATAATCGTATAATTTTGTTCTAGGACGTGATTTTTTCGAGTAATTATATATAAACACTTATATATTAAAATACATCCACTTATCAACTTTATTTATCAATATAATAATCATAAAGTAATTCAATCAAAACAAAATGAATTAAAAATTCTTATATTATTAATTAATCAAGTTATTAGGTAGTTATTTGGTAGAAAAAATTGTATAATTAATGTATTAAAGTAATACCATAATATTAATCATTTAAACGCAACAATTAGATCAATTTATTTAAACTTAAATTAAGTATTTCTAAAATAAACAATTAAAAAAATTATTTAAGAAGCGAGTAGAATTTATTTCTTTAAGAATGGAAAAAATATGTATTTTTAAAATAAATATACCAGAAAACACATAAAAATTATTGTATTTTTATTTGAAAATTATAAGATCAATACAAAACCAAGCCAATTAGAGGTTTGAAATTGTTAATTGTTGTTGTGTTTATTCTGAGTCGACAGTAGCCTGCGTTGATAGTGAGTTGTCTTTCTTTGTTTGGGGTTTGGTTGTTGTTGGAATGGTAACGCACAGTTAACAAAAAAATGAAAAAATGAAAAGAAAAAATAAAAATGGTTAGTTACAGTTCGCAAGAAGAGTGCGCTACCAGGCATTTTAAGGCGTGTAATAAACACCCGTTTCCTTCTCCTTCCTAAATTGAGGCATTGGAACAAACGACTTTGAAATCCTGTTCTGTTGGTGTCGAAGGAATGTTCATGTTTTCTTCTTTTCTCTTGGATCAAGATCAAAAGTAAACATCTCCTTGCTCGTTTTCCTGTGTCCTGCATTCCTTTGTGCTAGAAAATGCACCACAACCTTATCCTTGCAAGGTTGTGGCTTGCTTTGCTTGCGGTCTCAACCACCTCAGTTCATTGCAAAACCTCCTCCGAAGATGGTATGCTTATTGATTGCATTCATTCATTCATTCTTCTCTTTTACAATTCAAATTCTTATGCCCAATAATGATGAAACAACTTTTGCAGTCTCAGCCCTTAATGCGATGTATTCCAGCTTAAATTCCCCTTCAAAGCTTAGTGGTTGGAAATCAAGTGGAGGTGATCCTTGTGGTGACTCATGGGAAGGAATTAAATGCTCAGGCTCTTCTGTCTCAGAAATGTAATATAGATTATGTTGATTTTCATGTATCCATCTATGCATTTGCATGTGCATATGTAAATTCATCAACTACTTGTTGGATGGAGTTGAGACCTTCTAACTATTTTTACTTTCAACAGAAATTTGTCAGACATGGGACTCACTGGATCAATGGGCTACCAGTTGTCCAGCTTATCATCAGTAACCTACTTGTGAGGCCCAGATCTTCAAATGCACACTTCCTTTCTTTTTAATAATAAGAGAACAACACTTAAATGCCATACATTAATTTTTCATAGTACAGTGATTTGAGCAACAACAACCTCAAGGGTGATATACCATATCAACTTCCTCCAAATGCTCGTCATATGTAAGTCAGCTCGCTAACAATTCACTCGCATAAAATGCTGCCAAATTTAACATTACCACCTTATTATTCCAAAAATATAACCTTTTTGACTGCACCTAATAAGTCAAGATTTTAGGATGACTTACTGCCATCAGAACCAACATGACCAAGTGATTAGGAGTTGGATCCTTACCATCCCATTCTTCTAATTAAATTATTATTCAACCTCAAGATATAGTGAGCTTGGCCACTAGATTTCCATCTTGCTAGGATGTTATAGTTCATATGATTTAATGTTTCCAAAGTTTGAATATTTGTTTTATATTATTGCTAAAAAATAGAAAGTGTTTCCTAACATTCTTTATCAGATATGATTGAATTCATTATTTTAAAGGAAAGGTCAAACATGTAATTTGCTCAGAATTTTTCTTCTTCTAGGCAACCTGCATTTGATTGGCGTCGTATGTTTGTCAACAATAATTCTGTTATCTGGTCATGCAGAGATCTTTCTAAGAATTCCTTCACCGGAAGTATACCTTATTCCTTTTCTCAGATGGGTGACCTCAACTACCTGTAAGTAAAGTGCCTTCCTATTTTTAGTCACAATTTTTCTTGGAACTACTGTTTGGTTCTCAATATGTTATGCATGCAGAAATCTTGCACATAATCAGCTTAAAAACCAGTTGGGAGAAATATTTGACAAGCTCAGTAAACTCAAACAACTGTAAGTGAGAACATGCAGCAAGTTTTTTAATGTCAAGATCTGTACTTTCATGCTATTGCTGATTTTGGAATTTAACTGGATTAAGGTAGAAGCTATAAATCAGAACCATATTCCAGCTGTATATAAAATACAATTTTGCAATCTGTAAATGACTAACTGTGAACTCATGCATTGATGCTTGGGAGACAATTCATTTTTGCTTTGATTTGAGATTGTTCCTCACTTTTCTTATTGTTTGAGTTCAATCCACTGTTATGTTGAGTTTCTGAGGATTTTCTTGCTTTGTGCTGATGCAATAGTTCACTTCCAGAAAGGCTTCTATGCCCTAATGCAATACATTCTTTATTTTATATATAACTGCTTGCACTTCATTTTATATATTGAAAAAGGTGTGCTTCATTGTTTTCATTTAAAACTGGAACACTTAAGTCTCCCCCTTCTTATGTGGCTTCTTAGTATATGATTATTAAGTTTTCTTCAAACATGAGAAATTTATTAACCGAATATCATCAATAACATGTAGGGATGTATCATTCAATTCTCTATCAGGAAACCTACCTCAGAGTCTCAAATCACTCAAAAACCTCAAGAAGTTGTAAGAACACCATCACTATCACTATCAGGGAAATAATACATACATATTCACTTGAACTTCTTTTTGTCCTTATACAGGCACCTTCAAAACAACCAATTCACTGGTTCAGTAATTGTTCTTGCCAACCTTCCACTTGAAGATTTGTAGGTTCTTGTTTCACCAAATAATTTTGCATCTCCCTTCACAAAATGTCAAGTATCTTCTTATATTTGATTCTTTAGATTTGCAGTGCAGTAGTGGCACCTGAATATATTTCTGAATTATCTAGATATGCATATAGATAATATATCATATTTTATATAATTACGTGGTCATTTATTTGTTCCATTATTTGCCACTAACCATGAGCAAACATGTTCTTTCATTACGAGGAAGTAAAATGTTAACGTTGTCTAGTCAATTTATGAATCAATATGGAAAGGAAAAGATATTTTACTTTGAGTCTTTTGTTTATTTTTTTCTGAAATGTGAATTAGTAGTAAATCTATTGAAGGATTGACCAGTATACCTGAAATCAGATACTGAATTGGAATTGCCTTTCAGAGAGAATTATTAAATCAAGCTAAATTAACTTTACTATTTTAATTTTAACAGGAATGTCGAAAACAACAAATTTACTGGTTGGATTCCTGACGAGTTGAAGAATATAAAGAAATTGCAGTAAGTATTTTTGATACTCATTTATTGAAGGATGCAACTGAGGTTGTTTCTCTAACTATGAGTTCTTAATTCCAAAGAACTGGAGGAAACTCATGGTCAAGGGGAGAAGCACCTCCTCCTCCTCCTGGTACTCCCCCTATCAACGATTCCAAGAAAAAGAAAGATAAACAGGTTATTGGTGGAGTAGCTATAGCAGCCATAGTTTTTGGCATACTGGCAGTAATTATAATTGTTCTTGCTGTTTGTAAAAGAAGGTCGTCGACATCTTCTTCACACTTTATCGATGAAGAGAGGCGTAGCCAGAATAAATCTTTAACACCCCATGCATCTCAGGAGTTATCAAAAGTTTCGGATTCTGATGTCAACAAAGAATTCAAAGGTGGTCTTTCTCTATTCACAGATTTTGCAATACTTTCTGTCATTCATGACTTGTTCTGGTTCTTGTTTCATATGTCAGCCAAATTATTTTTCCCTTTTTATGTTGAAATTTTCTTAGAAGAAATTTTGCTACATCAATCTATAACTCTAGCATCAAAGGAAGTGACTTTCGATAGACAGCATCTGTCTGTCTGTCACTGTTAATAAACCAACTGTATTTATTTGTTTATTTTTTCTTTGGAAGAAGGATTGGATTTAGATTAAACTTTTCCCTTGCGTCATTCATAGCTTAAGTTGAGATACCTTGTGTCTGTTAAAACTCGCTCTCTTTTAGTTTTCCTCTCTCCTCCAATTAATTCCTCCTCTCATACACACATAGGCATTTATCATTGTTAAGCAAAGTATGCTTCAATGCCTCTCTTCTCCTTCTCCCGTTCACTGGAGTAAATTGCCCATCATCTTCACACAAGTTTATGTACCGATACCGAAAATTGACTGATTTGCTGCATGGATGGATGATCTGTTAATATCATATGTGGCATGATAAATTCATGGACTTAATAGATGAACCTTGTTGGAGATAAAAATTATTGGACTTTTCCACATTTTAAATTTCTGGAAGAATTGATGTACAATTTGTAAGTCACTTCGGAAATCTATGACTGACAACACCAACATGAAGATGACACATCCGTTTAACTGATTTCACTTGTCATATTGGTGACAGGATTTAACTCATTGCGTTCCACATCAATTGACGTAAAGGCTTTGCAAAAATCTCCGTCAATTAGTGTTAGATCGTCAGTCTCCGATTGTGTGCAATCCTTTAACAACAATGAGTTTGCGAATCGTCTAAATTCTAGAAGTACATCATTCCGTGCTACTACTTTTTCACTGGAAGAGTTGCACTCTGCTACTGCTAATTTTGCTTCAGGTCGACTCCTTGGTGAAGGATCCATAGGATGCGTTTATCGAGCTAAATATGCAGACGGAAAGGTACTTTCTGTTTGATTAATCTACACCTACTTGTGAGATTTGTATAGATAAACTAGTCATGGATACAATAGCATATGTATGAGCATTAAAAATTCCTTAGATTTCTACGAAGCACCCCCGAGTCAAATGTCTTTCCAATGAAGATGCAAATGCATATATGACGCACCTATGTTCATGTCTGAGTTGGAGAGATAAATATAAACTAAAATTTTAGTTGTAGGGTCAGGCGTGGCTTTGAGACAACCATGCTGCAACTAAGTTAGACAGTAAAAGTAAGTAGTTTTGTTTTGACTCGGGAATACCTTTAATATATGTTTTCTGTCAGGTATTGGCTGTAAAAAAAATCAACCCTTCGCTTTTCCATGGTAATCCTACTGAGGAATTCTCTCAGATTGTTTCAAACCTCAGCCAAATTCGCCACCCAAATATCGTTGAGCTTGTCGGTTATTGTTCAGAACAGGAGCACATGTTAATATATGATTATTTCAGAAACGGTTCTCTCCATGGCTTTTTACACTTATCAGACGATTTCAGCAAACCACTCACTTGGAACACAAGAGTCAGAATTGCATTGGGAACAGCTCGGGCTATTGAGTTAGTCTCTATCTCTCATGTAGTACTTGCATGTTGACCTAGCTGTTTAGATTGAAACATTCCTAATTTTGTGACATTTTCCATTGAAATCCAGATTATGCGGCAATTTGGTTATTATTATGTCAAAACTGGTGTTTATTTACTGAATACATGTGTATAAGAATAGTATTACCTAAATATGATGATATATAATTATTTATATAAATTCAAATGCTCAACAGATTTCTGAAGTTGATAAATTATGTAGATTTGGTTACACTCGACGATGGATCTCAGTCAAAATTATTATTTTTCATTTATGTTGATTGCATTTCATTTAAATACAATTAACAACATTCGATTCATGAACACAATCTAAATTTTCAGGTACCTCCATGAAATTTGTTCTCCTCCTATCTTGCATAAGAATATCAAGTCCTCGAATATTTTTCTTGACACGGATCTGAATCCTCGTCTCTCAGACTATGGTTTGGCATCCTTCCACCAGGTTTGTTTAGTCCTTATAAGATGGTTGGATTGATATGTTGAAAATACTGGCGTAATTTACGAGTCTTATTTTGTCGCTAGCGTACTAGCCAAAATCTTGGGGTAGGATATAATGCACCAGAATGCACAAAACCTTCAGCCTTTACACAGAAAAGTGATGTATACAGTTTTGGGGTAGTGATGCTGGAACTTTTGACGGGTCGAATGCCTTTAGACAGGTACGTGGTGCTTACTGCTTAGTTACATACATAAATTCTGTTTGTCTCTCAGCGTGTCTATGATGAAGTGATGGATGGAATCAAGATTGTTTTTGTGTGGTGCTCCTTGTCTTCAGTTCAAGGCCGAAGGCAGAACAATGTCTTGTTCGTTGGGCAACCCCACTTCTTCACGACATTAATGCGGTGGAGAAAATGGTGGACCCTGCCTTGCGGGGGCTTTACCCTCCTAAGTCACTCTTCCGATTTGCTGATGTCATCGCTCTCTCTGTTCAGGTCACTTATCAGTACGCATGCATTCATCCATGCATACCATCTACTCATACTCTCAACAATATATGCATCACTGTCCATAATTGATTATGATATTATGCTTCTTTTCTTTGTTTCAGTCTGAGCCTGAATTTCGGCCACCTGTGTCAGAGTTAGTTCAGGCTTTAGTGAGATTAGTTCAGCGCCCAAGTATGACAATGAGGGAGGATTTTGAGTGAAGACACCATTGTCAACTTTTACGGTCATAACTATCCATAGATAGATGTACTTCAATTTTGATAGAAATTATTTCAGTCACTCCACTGTTGAACAAAAAAAGTAGTTGTAGCTTGGACAAGAAAAGCTTAAGGATTATTTATTTAATGTAGATGAACTTCTCTTTTTCTTTTTCGTTTGTATTGTATTAATTCCACCAAGTGCCAATGACCAAAATCAAACCTTTATTCGTGTACTTGAATCTTCATTACTCTTTCTTTAACTTCTTCTAGGGCACTTTTGGTGCTTTTCTATTCAACTGATCTTTTTTTCCTCAACATGAAATGAAGTTAATCTCTCATTTGATATATTTTTTTCCTCAACTGAAAAGATTTTGACATTAACGTATTTCTCACCATTGATAATCTATTTTATTTCATGTTTTAGAATTTGATTAAATATATGTGATTATCAATATGACTGATACAAACTAATAATATATTTCTTTTTCTATTACTACATTTGCAATCTAACATAATAATGTACGTGTCTCCAACTTCTGTGGTACTTTTTAGGCAACCCAACAAAGTTACTGAATACCCAATCTTCACGTAGCCCTCATTTATATTTTCCCAAACATAAAACTTTTTACCATAGTACCCCAATGATCCAACCTTGTTTCTCACTAACTTTCCTTCATGGTGGAGCACAAAAGTGAGTTCGAACACTATTATGTAAAGACCACATGTTTCTGGTGTAATTTCGATTAATTTCGATTCTTAAGAGACTTTGATTCTAACCAAAACTCAACCACGTAAATTCTTCATGCTTAGGCTAGCAACTGAATTTCAATTGAAATGCGTATGAGAATCGAAAATACCACTGTATAAAACGCTTTCGATTATATAATCGAAAGCACTATTTTTTGGTATTTTGTATTTGAAGTACTCGAAATAAGGAAAACAGTAAAGTGACAAATCGAAAAGCAATACCGAATGTAAAACTGCGAAGAAATGAAAATTGCGGAAACCTCAAATTTACATTAAGTGTAACCGACAAAGCATCGAAATTGCGAAAATATAAATAACAGAAAATCGAAATTACAGAAATGTAAATAGCAGGAAATCGAGATTGCAGAAATGTAAATAGCAGGAAATCGAAATTACAGAAATGTAAATAGCAGGAAATCGAGATTGCAGAAATGTAAATAGCAGGGAATCGAAATTGTACAAACGGTAAATGACAAGGAACTTAAATGCAGAAACTTAACTTTCATTAAAAGGAAATGACAAGGAATCAAAAATACAGGAACTTAAAGTTGCCAAACATAAACTGCATCAAAGTAAATTACCAGGGAAAATAAAGAAAGCGGTAAAGGAAATCAATGAATATGGAAATCCAGATCGCCAGAAACTTCATGATGTTCGTCGTTCTCCAGTAGACTTCTCACTAGTATTCCTACTCTCTCTGCCAATTTCCACCCCCCTTCCCCTTTTCATATTTCGCTCTATTTATAGATCATCTTTCAAGTAGCCTCTTAGGAGCAGTTAACGAAAACTGCTACCACGTTCTTCGTGCACGTTGCAGTTTCTTCTTCTGTGGTGTCAAAACTGCACCCACGTTCCCATGATCTTCGACCTCTGCCACGATTTAGAAAATGCTTCCTATGTGCGCGTTTAACTATTCTTCTCTTTATGATCTGGCCAAGATTTCGATATTTACGCAGGTTAGCCTTCCCCTCAATTTCGATTTTAAAATCTTGAGAACTTTGAATTTGCTTTCAATTCCCCTTAACCTTAACGTCATATACTTCTAATTTCTTGGTTTTATTCAACAAATAGACGTTTAACTATTATTCCTTCGATTCTCGATTCTAACTCTCGATTTTATGTGCCACGCACTTCTAATTAGACATCGAATGGTTTTTCATCCATCTTTTCGATTCATCAATCAATCACATGTTTCTCGATTTTTTCTTTCCTTCGTTTTTCGATCACTTTTCTCGATTTTCCACTAACAAAAATGTCCCCTTGGAAGAATATAAATAGTTTCCGTTTATATTCTTTCAACATGATTCCCGCCTTGGTGTTCGGAGGCCCACAAAACTTAGGGTTTAGGGTTTCTGGGGTTTTAGGGTTTACAGGGTTTTTAGGTTTCTTTTTGTTTTATGTCGTCATTGCGTCAGTCTGCTGCCTTACTGTACACGCCACATTAATTACTCTTCGCCTCCGTCGTTTCCAGTACCCTAGGTGGCTTTTCCTTTAAACAACTCGTTAGTCTTTTACCCTGGTTTTTTACGCGAACTTTTTACTTCTCCTTTGCAACTTCATCTTCTACTTTGCGCCTTTGTCTTCAACCTTGCATCCTCACCTTCTATCCTCTGCTTTCCTCTACTCTCCTGAAATGACAACCTCTTCCAAATCTTCTGATTTTTCGGCCCCACTCCTTCCCTCGTTGGCGTCTAGCCTGCTGGAGATCAATAATCAGAAGTTTGCTTCAGTTCCTCTAATGGAGGAGGCTTCTCAAAAGGTCGCTGAGACGCAGATACTCATCCCTTATACTGTTGATGGTATCAATTTTGCTTTTGGGGGTCCTATTCGTTCTTGTGGTGGAACTTTTCCTTCCCTCAACCTTTCTTCAAAGAGCCGGGTTCTCATTCACCAATCTGAAATTCGAATTGATTTCTTGAATAACGTCTCTAGAGTATACCGAACGGGCCCCCCCTCCAAAAAATCCTTGTACATTAGGTGGTTTGACAGGGTTAAGGCTAAGTTTGGGAACCATTGGATGGATGTGGGGATTTTCGATTTTTTGCATTTGTCTCGATGCGACTTGTCATTTTTGGATATGACTATGTTTCTATCTGCGGTACATTTGTGGAATAAAGACCTACATGCGTTAGAACTCCCTTGTGGTCCCCTTTCGCCCACCCTGTTCGAAGTCGCTGCAATTACTGGTCTGAAACCCTCAGGGGAGAAGTATTATAAGGGTGCTTTCCCTTCAGATAATTCCCTAAGGTCCAAAATCGATTGGGAATCGAAAGCCTATGGTCATTTTCTCGAGAAGCATTTTGTCGAGGACCCAACAGTTGTTGTTTCAGATGAGGAGCACATTGCCTTTTTGGTGTACTGGTTATGCACTCATGTCTTCTGCCCCCGATCCATCCAAATTTCGTCCCACCTTTACAACCTTGCGTATCTCCTTCATACCGGCCAGCCTAGAGTTTGTCTAGCCAAATTTTTGTTAGCCCATGTATATACTGCTTTCGATGAGGCCGTCGAAATTTTGAGTACCCCCAAGGCTTCAGGAAACTTTTCGGGTCCCATTTGGTTTATCCAACTATGGCTGAACTCGATTTTCGAGAGTATCCTTCCCCCAACCTCTAACATCCCCTCAAGTGTAAATATAGAGGGCGCTCAATTAGTTTCTCGACATCCCCACCACAAGCCTGACGAGGCAACTTATTACAAATACCTTAGATTTTTGTTAACTCGGTTTTATTTTGATTCGACTTTGGCTCCTTTTACTGTGCATCTTGGACGACTAAATGACCAACTTCGAGGGTCAACTTGGTTTAAGTCAAAATTTCCTGCCTTAACTCCTGGGTTACAATCAGAGCTGGTCGATGTGTGGAGTAATTATTTGACTCAGGATGTATTAGTATCGGGTTTTCACTCCAAGGATTTCAAGCTTCTCACCTATTACCCCCAAATTTTTTCGAGACAATTTGGTTTGAGTCAATCTTTACCTTTTTTCCCCTTCGATACCTCCCCTAGGTCCAAGTTAAGTGAATCGACAATTGGATGGGAGCTGACCAGACTGCTACCAAAAACCCCGATGCATTTTTATCCCTATGCTTTTGAATCTAATTATTTATCAACAGTGGGTTTCTCTCAATGATGGGCCGATTGGTTCTCGAGTAATCATTCTGCTTTTGACAAAGTCCGACAAAAATTGACTGCTCGTCCTTCTCTTGTGTTGCAGGACAAATCGAAAGCGAAGAAAGGTACACACTTTTACTGTCTTCAAATATCTCGATTCGAAAATTTTTATCAAATATGTTACAACCCATTGAAATTAGAATCGACCTTTTATGATGTTGTTATTTCCTTATCCCATAAAACAACCACTAATCGATCGAACCACAAAATAATCAATCCTTTAGGAAAAACCCCATTTGAAATGTATTGCCTCAATCACCTTCCCACTTTTCCTACAGCACCTTTTGGAATCGCCAAACCTTTAACTCATCCCAAATGGGTTCGAGAATTAAGATCCCTAAAAGAAACTCTTCGTCCCAAACCAAAAAACAAAGATATTTCTGTATCGAAATTGTCCTATTTCCCTTACCTACACCTTCCTCAAATTCTTCTTCCTCCCTGGCTTGTACATATCGACCGAGTCAAGATTTTGACTCCATCACCTTTTAGTGAGATCTTGCTACCTTTTTTAGGAATATTTTTAATTTTCTTTATATTATAAGCTAACTGTTTTCTTTTTCGACAGTTTCAAAATCCTCTAAGACTGTTGTCTCCGAGAAGGAGAAGGACTGGGAGTCCTCGGATGAGTCAGACCCATCAGCCTTCGTTAGGAAACGCAAGCACTCGGCCACCATTTCTTCATCTTCGAAGAAATCGAAGGTTCATTTCGATTCCTTATTGTCTTTCTTTTTTGTCTATAGCCGATTCTCTTGGATTCTAACGTATTTCTGTTGTCTTTCGATTTCTAATTTCAGAAACAAAAATCGAAGAGTCCTCGATTCATTCAACCATCTACCATTAATCCATTATCGACGGACTCCAACACAGTTACTAAAGCGGGTCGAACAACACCCACCACACATTCGAGTCACGTAAGTCCCTTTTTTACATAATTTTATATTCCTTAGGTTTCGATCAGACCCATTTCATGATTTCGACTCTCAATATTTTTCAGGATCACCCATCGGCAACTGTATCGACAAATGTCGAATCTCAACTTCAATCATCAACACCTATTTCTGAGGTACAGCTCCTAACTTTTT